TGTGGAAAGTATATACAGGCAAATTCCTAAAGGGCTATGACTATTATCTGTAGATGACACTGTCTTATGTTTTAAATACTGTTTTATGTTATTTTTACTTCCTAATAATTTATTAATATGAGTGTAATAGAAAAGTTTATGGCATGTATTGAAGCATTTTTTTGATTAAGTAAAGAGTTGGTATTAAAGATTGCCTTAAAAATCAATCTATTATACTATATATCCTATTATACTATATGTCATATCATACTATATATCTTATCATACTATATGAATATATATATATATATATATATATATATATATATTTATATAGATATATATTCATATAGTATGATAAGATATATAGTATGATATGATATATAGTATAATAGATATGATATATAGTATTATACTATATATCATATCTATTATACTATATATCATATCATACTATATATCTTATCATACTATATATCTTATCATACTATATGAATATATATATATATATATATATATATATATATATATATATATATATATATATATATATATATATATATATATATATATTAATATATATATATATATATATATATATATATATATATATATATATATATATATATATATTAATATATATATATATATAATATATATATATATATATATATATATATATATATATATATATATATATATATAGTATATATATATATATATATATATATATATATATATATATACTATATCTATATATATACTATATATCATATCATACTATATACCCTATTATATTAAATATATATATATATAGTATATATATATATTTAATATAATAGGGTATATAGTATACTATATACCCTATTATATTAAATATATATATATATATAGTATATATATATTTAATATAATAGGGTATATAGTAAGATATGATATATAGTATACTATATATCATATCATACTATATATCCTATCATAATAAATATATATATATATATATATATATATATATATATATATATATATATATATATATATATATATATATATATATATATATATATATATATATATATATATATATATATATATATATATATATATATATATATATATATATATATATATATATATATATATATATATATATATATTATAAGTTAATTTTATTTATTTAATAGCATTCTAAGTAATGTATTCTTATAAAAGTCATTATGTCACAGTCTCCTTCTCAACAAGCTAATGTTCAAAAGAACGAGACCAAAGATTTAGGAATATTAGAACTGGATGACTTTAAAATGTGGAGCTCAATAGCCTTAAAGTCATTTTTATCCTTGAGGAAAAAATCTGTCATTGGCTCTACAGAAGTATTAGTTGCAAGGTAAGCTTTATTTAAATTTTAGTTTTTTTAATTTTTGTTGAAATTTTATTTACTTTGCAGCAAAAAAAAAAAGTTTTTATTTTTAAAAGCTACCAATAGCTGACTATATATTTTATTTGTAATTACTTTGAAATATATATGATAAATTTAGAGCATTCTCTTGCTATGAAGAAAATGTACCAGTTGACCACAAGCAAGAGCATACTCAAAGAGTTTTGTTAAAAGAATACAAAGACAAATTGATTATAGATGGTGAAGCAGTACCAGATCCTATGGACTTATCTAAATTATGGATTGGAGAAGATAAAGGAATGATTTATTGGCCAAGACTCTATTTTACGGACATTTCTAGATTTTATAGTGATGTGATTGGTAAACGAAATCTTATCGAACGATTAGAATCTGAATATAAACAAGGAAAAGCATACCGTTATTTTTCAAATAGTTTTATTGGAGAAGTCATGTACAATAATATAAACGATTCTTCACTATTTTGTTTGTTCAAAACAAAATGCATGCCTTCTCAACGTGTCAATATGAAACAGTATGATGTCTGGATTATTGTGCGAAAAGACAAAGGTAATATTATTGGTGGTGAAGTTAAAAATGCTTACTGTACTTGTACTGCAGGACTATTAGGAAGCTGCAATCATGTTGCAGGTTTATTATTTCGTATTGAAAGTGCAGTTATTACGGGTGTTTCTAACCCAACATGCACCAGCTTAAAAGCTTCTTGGAATGTCCCCAGTAAAAAGAAACTAATTGAACCAGGACTGGTATCGAATTTTGTTTTTACCCAAGACTCATACTTGAAAAAGTCAGTACAGAAGTCAACTGAGAAACGTAAAAGTGCAGGTCAATTTAAAATAAAGTTCCAAGTAATGTCTGATAGCCAGAAAAAAGTTTTAAACAATGGTGATATTGTAAGAAGCGAGCTATTTAATGAAATCCAAAATATTATTCCTAATTCTTGTTTTGTAGAGTTGACTGAGCAAAAGAAAAAACAGCATATTCCTTCAGTAGCTTTAGATATTCCATCTTTGAAAGAATTTGCTAATCTATTTAAAACAAATTTGGATCAAGATGAAATCTTCTTTATTAACGATATGTTTGCTGATTCAATTTATTTGACTGATAATGAAATTAGAGCTATATATAATGCTACAAAAGATCAAGCCAATAGTACTGAGTGGTTCAAATATAGACAGGGCAGATTAACTGCTTCCAAGTTTAAAAGTATTGTTAATTGTGCCAAAAGGTTGCGTAATAATACTAATGAGAAATGTCCTAAGTATATTGTTTCATTTATTATGGGTTATGATACAGTTAATCCAACATGGCAAATGAAACACGGGATAAACAATGAGTTTCATGCAAAAGCAAAATTTAAACAAATTTTTCGTAAATCCCATAAAAATTGTAAATTTAATGACCCAGGAATGACAGTAATGAAATCGCATCCATTCATTTCAGTAACACCTGATATGGAAATAGAGTGTTTATGTCATGGTTCAGGCCTTGTTGAAATCAAATGCCCAGCCTCAATAATTGGTAAAGTTCCTCATCCAGAAAATTATGCCCATATTGAAGAAGCTAATGGAATAATAAGTTTGAAGAAGAACAGTGAGTATTATTTTCAAATTCAAGGTCAGCTTGGTGTCACACAGAAGAAATATTGTTATTTTTTTATTTTTTTATTTCATGGTAATTTAACTGTGCGAGTTCCATTTGATGAGGAATTTTGGAGTTACATGATTGATAATTTAAATTGGTTTTGGAGAAGTCAAATTGCTCCAGAATTACTAGACAATGAAGTTGAAAAAAATGTTAAACTAATTAATGAAGAAGACATTATTATCGTTAAAAGAAATGTCACAACGTACATTGATCTATCATTAGAAAATATTAGCAGCTTTACAAATTTTTCTCAGTCATTAAATGAAAATAATATTGATTTTGAAATAATACTTCAATAAGAGTTCTTAACCCAATCATGTCTATTTTTTTCATTCTCAAATCATTCTTAACCAAATCAGTCTAATAAATATTATTGATTATATATTGTAACATTGTTTTTCTGTTTATTTCTGTATTTGGCACCTAACTTTCAATATGTATAATGTGACCAAATAGTTGTAAGGTGAACTGTCAGGGATTGATACGCAGGGGGGGTGGGTGGGATGTTAAATGAGGAGGTAATTTTCCTCAGATAGATGGGGGTGAGAGGAGGAAGAGTAATTTGTATGTTTGAATTTGTTAGGCCTGAAAAAACTGAAAGTTTTTATTTTGATCAGTAAAATTATGTTTTTATAATGAAATTATAATTTTTTGGGCATGATGAAGGGGTAGGCTGGGGTGTCAACTATTCATAAATCTTTATAATCTTTAAAACTCTATACAGCTTTGTTTGCTTTTAAAGTTAAATTTGCATATTTTTAAAGGAGGAAGTACCTAAAACAGGCAGGTTTTTTTATGTCCCCTCTTGACAATTTGAGGGTCCATAAAAGTGCACCCCCTTAATTCAGCTCTTTTTACCACCACAACGTCTGTGATAGTAGCACGCAAAACTTATTTATCCGCGCAGCGGCCTTGTCGGAGTTTGCTCCAGAGTTAAGAGCTGAAATTAGGGTGGTTGAAATATTTTGGACACAGTTTTTATTAGGGCTTTCATAGGAAATGTTTATTAAACTATATACTATAAGAAAAAAAAAAGATGTGTACATTATTAGTAATTTTAGTCATCATGCAGAGACAGCAAAAAGGCGCCTAATGCAGCAAACATTTGTTTGCGGTGTGACAGATCTACTTTGACATAAAAAGTTTGAAGAAAAAAACGGGATGCCTTTACAAAGGTAGAACACGACTGAGTACAATCCATTGGAGGGACGATGCTTCTAGAGAAGTTCTTAGAAGGTTCGTTCCTTGAAGGTTTTTTATGATTATATATATAAGCAGACAGAGCTCAAGTAAAGTTGACGCAGTGGCTTAACTATAAATTTGGACTCCCCCGCCAAATTGTTTCTCCCAGTTTAGATTTTTTCAAAACATATTTAAGAATGAAATATCCAATATTTGCTTTTTATATTAAGTTAATATAACACGATTAAGTTTATAAAAAATTACTAATTATTATTACCAGTCATATTATTCATATGAGTAAAGTTTGTAAATCTCCGCGGGGCCCTCTAAGCTCCGGAGCCCACCCGCCTCGCGGGGTTTTGCTACCCCCTAGTTACGCCACTGAGTTGACGTCAACAATGTTTTATTTTTAAATTTCATTACTCCAAAAACGAAAAATTAGGCGGCGTTTGTGGCTTTTTGTCTTTATTAGAGAGGGGGGGGGGATGTAATCAAAAATGGACGCAGTTTTATAGGGGGGTCTCTAGAAATTTGACAAATTGTTGACAAGAGGGAGGGGGTAAAAATTTTAAAAAACTTGTTAACGTAATTATTGGATAGCCCCTCAGAAAATTAAAATACATTTCATTTGGCTAAGTTATTTGAATTATAAGGGTTTAAAAACTAAAAAGTAATGCAGCAGTTGAGTAGTGTTACAACACTTGACTAAGAGATTACTATTAGACCCCACCATATGCCTCTAGAAATTTTTTAGCAAATAAGCTTTTATTAGACAAGGTTATTTATTTTTTCTATGCAAAATAAATAAAAAAAGATATAGCATACATTATATATAGCATAAAGAGATATAGCACACAATACAATAGCATAAAAAGATATAAGATACAATATGTTCTAAGAATAATTCTAAATTAGTCTGAATAAATTGGTTTTTTAAAATTACATAATGCAGCACATACAACTAAAATATCATCAACATGAGAAAGCATAGATATCGGTATCTCATTTGCGATGATTTTGAAAGTTTTGAGTCTTCTTATGACTTGCTCAACTAAAATTCTAACTTTAGCAATATTGCTAGTTTTTTTAATTTCACCTGGAGTCATCTGAGTTGCACCACGTTTACCTGGTGGAACTAGAAAATACAACGATCTAGCAGCACATTCATCATATAAACTAAAACCTTTATCTGCCATTAATGTGCTGTATTTTGGTAAAATATCTGAAAACTTAGAGTCTATTGTAATTTTTTTATCACTAATTCGTCCTGTGTAAGCTTTTGAAATAAATGTTATACTTGAATTAGGAGCAATTGATATTAAAAATTTTAATGTGTTTTGGTGCTTGTAATCTGACCATGTGACACTTTGTAACGCTAAATTTTTCGGTGTTTCAATAAAAATTTCTGAGCAATCTATAATTGATGATAAATTATCAAACTTTTTATATCTTTGAGGTGTTGTAGCAAGTATTGCACCCATATCTGGCATAAAAATGAAATTCTTGAAATACTCAGACATTCCTCTTATCCAACTATGGAAAATTTTGGAGCATTATCCTTCGGAAACTCCGAATCTATCTGCTAAGTCTTTATTTAGCAGACCAAGTCGCAACTTCATTAATGTTAATAAAAACTCATCAATAGAATTTATTTTTGTTTTGGGGCCCATTTTCTGTGGTGTCAATTTAAATAATCTGGGGCAAACATTGTCAGAATTTAGTGGGAGTCTTCTTTTTATTAGTGGCATAATTTTGTCATGCAATTTATGAAACAACTCAATTTGAGCTATGTTTGTATAAAATTTACAGTTGTTTTCATTAAGTAGTTTTTTGAAAATTGGCTCTTTTAGGTTTTTCTTCAATTGCTCAATTTGGGAATGTAAATTTTGTATGCAGCATAACAATGTATGTATAGTAGACACTAATGCTACTATAAGAACAAAAATATCTTGTATAGTCAATGATTTATTTGCATTTTCCCTATCATTTTTAGTGTACTCAAAACATATATCTTCAAATTCCAGCGACTCATTTTGAATACTGCTTTGACCTTGCTCATCGTTTTTCAAATTACAGCTTGAAGTTTCAATAAATTTTTCTTTTATTGCATTTTCAGGCTCATGACAAATGCTAACAGAATTAACTCTAGACTTTTTTGTGAAAGGAAATAATTGCTTAGATGGAAACGTCTCTTACTTAGAACAAGAGAAAACAAAGCCTCTCTTTTCTTTGAATCGTATCCTAGATTTATAGTAGGATTCGGATGTTCATCGGTTGGTCGACTATCAGTAAAATGAATGGAGCACACACACGCATCTTTGCTTGGTTGCCATAATTTATCTGTTACTGTTTTTCTATTTATAAGTTTGAGCCACTGATCACGACGCTCTGCATTTTTTTTAATATTGGGAAATTTGTTGAACCTATAAAATAATCATTTATATTACAAACACCAGTATATTAACAGCGAATTTATTCAATCATTAGTTAACTTACAAAAAAGGTTTTAAGCAAGTACAAAGACCTTCAGAACGAACACAACCATGTTGTTGACACATTTCCTTGTCCCATTTTTTAAGCTTGCAGTTTGTATTTTTACATCCAATAACAACACAAGTGTACGCCATATTAAATTTTATTATCTAAACAACTTTATTAACTAAAATATAATTATATATATACAAACAAACACAGACACACACACAAACACACACACACACACATATATATATATATATATATATATATTATTATTGTTTTTGAAGTGCCTTGAAAATCATCCCATCATACTATATCCTATCATACTATATATCATATCATAGAGTATGATATGATATATATCATATCATACTGTATGATATGATATATAGTATGATAGCTAAATATATATATGACATGCTAAAATTATGCTAAAATCTATATAATATATATATATATATATATATATATATATATATATATATATATATATATATATATATATATATATATATATATATATTCATATAGTATGATAAGATATATAGTATAATAAGATATATAGTATGATAGGATGATTTTCAAGGCAATCTTTAATACCAACTTTTTACATAATCAAAAAAATGTTTCAATACATGCTATAAACTTTTCTATTACACTTATATTAATAAATTATTAGGAAGTAAAAATAACATAAAACAGTATTTAAAATATAAGACAGTGTCATCTACAGATAATAGTCATAGCCCTCTAGGAATTTGCCTGTATATACTTTTCCACATTTATATTTTTGCTCGAAATTTTTATTTTAGCAATCATATTTGTGATAATTTGCGGAACGGAACTGAGACTATAAATCCGTGTATTGTTATTGCGGAAGTTGCACAGGGTAAAACACCAAGTATTCGCCACTTTTTTCTACCCTGCCCCATTAAAATATTTTTTTCTCACTCGTTTTTCAATAAATAATTGATCTTATATATTCATCGTTCAGATGGATAGTTGGGCTATACGCTGTACTTAGAACGAATGACCTCCGATAATTAATAAGGGGGCTATAGCCCCCGAAAGTTGAAAGTGGCGGACACTGGAACGGTCCCCGTGTTCGCCAGGCAATTTTTTGAACCTGTTCCAGTGTTCGCCACCCTCAGACTTTTTAAAAAATGAGTTCTTTTTTTTAGTTATTTGGTATTAAAAATATATTTAAATAATTGTTGATTATTTTTGTTGATTATATTTTGTTGCCATTTTTGTTGCTGGCAGCAACTTTCTTTTAGCTGGAACACTTGGCTTGTTGCGTTTAGCTAATTCAGCAACTAAGCGCTTCGTTTTTCTCTCCTCTTTTGCTTGTTCTTGTGTTTTTTTTCAAGCCTAATACCTTCTAGCATCGAGACAACTTTATCTGAAGTCACTACAGATGTGGCATGAAGTTCTTGAGCCACTGTACGAACCTTTCCTATGAAAATTAAAATAATAATCAGGTTATAATAAAGTAAATTTATGACCATAGGCTACATGTGGTAATTTTACAGAGATTAAAAATGGAAATTATTATAATAAATTTAAATAAAAATAACAATTTACCTTATAGCTAAAAACATATAAATACCACATAACATAAGTTTTAAAGCTCTTTTTAATATCATTTATACCGTCGCAACTTTATATTGCACCACAAAAGTGTATGCAAGTTCACTGTACTTGCATACACTTTTGCAAGTTCACTGTCCCAGCCGGCACGACTCAGAAAATAGTTACGCTTGGTTTCTGTTGCGTTTTTAAAACCTTCTAAGACAAAAAGAATAACACGTATCAAAAATGGTTTTTATTCCGTGAAATTAACTATTACTATTTACCATAATACCAGTATTATGCTATTTACCATAATACTAGTTAAAGTATTAATGGTTTCACCGTCATTAAAAGACACTTCAACAGATAGTCACATTACTTAAATTTAACTTGACTCGTTAGCTGTTTCATTATTTTTAAAGTTATTTAAAAATAAAACTAGTAAAGTAAAAATAGTGCAAGACTTAGCACAAACAATAATAATAAAATAAATCAAAACTACCTTTTATTATCTGATTCATTGGATGTGGACCATTTCTGGATTTTGTACATTGAATAACACATTATAAATAAACATTTGCTGCTTTTTGATTCAATATTTGGCTTAATTTGATTGAAAAGTTTTTGAAGACTGCTTTTGTAATTTGAAATTTGTCTATCATAAAAACTATTGTTTGAAAAAATTGGCGTTTTTCTTCCTAATAATAAAATTATATAAAAACTATATAAATCTATGTGTGTTTCTCTCTCTCTGTTTCTCTTTCTCTCTCTCTTTATATATATGTGTGTGTATATATATATATATATATATATATATATATATATATATATATATATATATATATATATATATATATATAAATTTATATATATATATATATATATATATATATATATATATATATATATATATATATATATATATATATATATATATATGTTTATATATTTATTTATTCATTTATTTTAGAAAAAATTAAATACCATGTGGTTTTTGCTTTTGATAAAGGCTATCTTGCCTTTTTGAATGGGATTCTACATCTTGACTTGTGTAAACTTGATAGGGAAGAACTGAATTGATTCCGAATTTTTCTTTTAATTTTGAATGAATGAGGTTCTGATAACATCCACTTAAATTACCAAACTCAAAATATCTGGCAATATATATGGCACCTTCAGCAGATGGTAAAGAAAATAAAACACAATAGAATAAACAATCACTTGAACCAGATGCCAGTGATAGAAAATTGTCCTCTGTCTTGAACAATGGAGATTTACATACTAAAAACTCAGATTCCATTATTTCGGTTGTTTCAATGATAGCTTTTATACCTTCAGAACACTTATTTAGATTGGAAATCATCACTTCTAAATTAGCTTGGAAATCATCACTTCTAAATTAGCTTCCACTAAATTGTTACAAATATAATTAAAAAAGCATCACAAATACTCAAAATATAACTTGTTATATAGAATATGTCGTTACTAGACTAATTATTTTGTAGTACAATATTTATACCAGTCAGTCACCTGATAATCATAGCGAACATCTCAAGTTACAAAACGGACTATGTGTTACTACTATTATAAACACTATTTTATTGTTTAGACTGTTGTAAAAAATTGTGCATTGGTATAAGCCACAACACAAAATTAAATATTATTATATTATACAGTAAAATAGTAGAATTTTATTATCACAAGAAACTCTTTAAAAACTTTTAAAACTATAAACTTTTGCTACTTTAAAACAAATCAAGTATAAGTACTTTGAAATCTTCACTTTGAAATGTTCTTTGAGAAATTAAATAAAGTATAATAAGTCTAAAATCAAATCTAAAGATCAAATTAATCACAAGATTAACTTATGTATTATTTTCACCCTTAAAAACATTTAGGGTCTTTTGTGAGGATAACCACATTAAATTGTTTATTGACTAAATATTATATTAAATGTATTCTACATTACCAATGAATATAAATATTATAATAAAGATATTATCAAATGAAATGTATACTAAAAAAGAATTTAGATGTAATATTTTCTTAATATAATCAATCAATTAATAATATACTTTAGAATATAGATCTTACATTCCAGGTTATTTACAAATAGTAAATTAACCATGTAAATAAAAATATAAATGATAAAAGCTATTTAACATAGAAGGCACAAAATGAAATTCCAGGACTTTAATCACATTTTTCAGGACATTTTATCATAAAAAACAATTTTATAATGTAATAATATTAAAAGTTAAATTCAATTAAAACAAAGTAAATACAACAATGCAATAAAAATAAAGAAGACCTTTCAAACCATAGGAGCAAACTTGTCAAAATTAATTTTACAGAAGTATTATTTGTAACTTTTTAACTACATCTATATATATTTTTTATAATTTTTAAAACCATTTTTATAAAATTTAATTTTTTCATGGATTTTTTTTCAAATATAATGAACAGTTTTTTTTTTAATATAAATCAAATGAACATTTTTCAACAGCTGTTTTATCATAATTTTCTTAGGATTTAATATGCTAATATTGGTTTTATACCATATATATATATATATATATATATATATATATATATATATATATATATATATATATATATATATATATATATATATTAGGGTGATTCAGATTGAAAAAGAAAAAAAATGTCACAAAAAACATTCTCCTCAAGGTTGCCTGTGTTCCTTTATCACCTAGGATCATGTGTACCAAAAATTAGACTAAAAGAAGCAATTTTAGGGGTTGCCATGTTTTATAAGATAAATTAACCATTGGTAAAATTTTGTGATTTTCTTAAATTTCGCAAATTTGTTTTTTCATTGTTTATTTATTTATAATTTAGAAATTGATAATATGGCAACCCCTAGATCTTCTGCTGAGGTGTGGCTTGTTGGTAAACCTACACAAACTCTGTTGACTGCCAGACTTCCTTCAAGAGAAGATGTTCTTCGGAGGTTGCTCTTCCATTATATAGAAGAGAAACAAGAAGTGAAAAAAAGTATTCGGGCAACAATTGAAGCAGTTCTTGTTATATGAAGGAGAGGAAAAATTCCAACTCAAAGAATTGACAATGCGGAAACAAAGTTAAAAAAACTTTATGACGAATATCTGCTGCTAAAAAAACACCGAGGATCAAAATTGGACAGCTGTCAAATGAAAGAAAGAATTTTCCACGCTGACCTTGAAGAACTTTTTGATATTTCAACCAAGAATGCATCAGAAGTTATGAAAAACGATGAAGATAAAGCATTTTTACGTCAGCAGCAAGAAGATCTATTAAGTTGTAGGATGGCAGGAATTGATCGGAATTTAACAGCTAGGGAGGCACGGAAACGAGTCCGAGAAACTAAAATGGAATTTAGGCGTCAAAGAAGTCAAGCGGAACTGATGGAAAAAACAGAACTCATTTCTTCTTCATCAGCAGTTGACATTGTGAGTGAAAGTAGCTCTAGTTCCTCGGATGATGATGTATATCAGACTCCTTCCGCTTCCAGCACACTGAGCACAAGTGGTTCAACGAAAAAGAAGATGAAAGTTCTAACAAATAATGTTGTATCATCTCTTGATCTTGTTAATATTTCTGATCGCCGTGCACTCTTCGTGGTTGGAACAGTGT